GGGTCAGAAAATGCGCTATAAGTAGGTAGATCACATGAAGATGAAGGTTTAACAAGGCCTTACCCTCAATCGGCCATCATTGGCTGCTGGACCGTCTTCAGCGATTCGCAGAACAAACAAAGGCATGGCACCAAATTCTTGTCCACCACGAATCGAGAAACCGAATCCACGAGCACCACGTTCAAGTTCCACCGAGATTATCGGACTGTCCTGTAGGAATTCTTTTAGCACAAAGGTGATGTTTCCGAAAGATGTGTTAGGAAAAATGGTATGAAAAACAACGGATTTTCACGATATTGCACATGCGGGAGCATTCCGTCAAATCAGAGAAAAAAGCCCACTTGAACAGCTGGCAACTCATGCTTTACGAGTTATATGGAGGTAAATTCTCTAGGAGAATCTTTGCTTCAGGAATATCCAATTTCCCGCAGCTCTTGATGCTTCATGTACAGAAGCTGATGACAACTGTTTCTGACCAAGGGATGAACGAGAAAAGACCTTCAGAGAGCATGACCTCCTCATCCTTTATGGAAGGAATCATAAGCAGCCCCTACTACATTCCAGAGTTCTAATACTAAAAGCCGATCTCGTGATTATAAGTTGAGGTTATTTCGCTAGAAAGGAAATGGATGAAGTTTGTCCATTAGTAGAGAAAGAGGAAAAAGAAAGTACCGAAAACTCCGAAATCCCCAGGTATTTGCTTTTGAAATCGGCCGTAATAGAACAAAGAAACACAACGCCCTTACAGAGAGAACGCGCGAGTGAGAACGGCGCCAGAGAGGGCGCAGACACTCGACCGATGCGTAACAAACAATAAGAGCTGCAGTGAGCGCCGGTAATTGGGACCACTGGCAAGATTCTAGAGCCCTTATTGCGCACCCTTTCGAAATTCAGCGAACGGTGGTGCGCGATTTCTGCCCTTGCGGACACTGCTACTCTATTTACAGAGGAGGTGTTCCAATGAACAAAGTGCGGAATGCGCCGTAATCGAATGGAATACGGCAGATTTCTGGTTTGGAGGAACTGAATTGTGACCTGCTCATTGCATCGTCCCGACAGTTACATCGTTAATTTTAGTACCATAAGATGGGGTTGAAAATGAAAGTCTCACGTGAATTCAGGAAACTCCTTAACAGCACCAGTCCGCCGACGATCAAGCTTGAGAAATTCTCATCCGGCAGCGTCCAAACTGTCGTTATTGCTCCCTTGCAATATGCGCGGTGTCTTGCGCCTCTGCATTTGATGCTCTCTCGCACATTCCCTCTCCTCGCCGAGCTGTGTCTCTGCGTCGTACAAGTTCCAAGAGAAGCAAACCTTCGATTCCAATATTTTCTATGATTCCTTCTGCTATTTTACTCACTGACAGTCGCCTTTCCTAGTCTTCTTTCATTTCTGAATAGACTGGCTCACCAGTTCAGCGATCCGTGTTTATCCTCTCAAGAAACATATAAGACTTTATTATTAGTTGGAAATGTTGGAGAATGTTAGCAGAAAAATTTTGGTTAGACCCTTGGAGACGTCACACTGTTCAGATACTGTGTCGCAAAGCGGAATGTGTTAAATAAAGAGCATGAAAATTTAGTGAAAAGAAAAATTGATAAAACAACACCGTTAAGCGACATGGATACGAGTTTGAGGTTATTCCGATCGAAGAAGAGCTCTCGTCAATAATAGACAATTGTTATCATTGAGAAAGCCGGGATTCGCTTAGTGTAGCAAAATTAATGTTATTTTTGAGAGCAGATTGAGGTTTTCCTCTTAGTAATACCTCAGAGTAGGAAAACTGAACAAAAAGTAGTAGGGTTGTTTTTGCCTATATAGAAAAAGTAAGTTGAATGGAACTGGCACTTTCTATAGGGGGATGGCTGGGGGGGCTGGGGTGAAACATAGTTAGTACGCAGGGATTTTCAATTTTTTCAAAAAATTTCATCATGGCCTGCTAAATTTGGTGATTTCAGCAGAACTTTCGGAGCAATTTGCCTGTTCTGATCGAACTCAGACACAATTTCAGCTCAGTTCATAATACTTGGGACAAAATGCAAGAAGAATTTTTAAGTAATATATGAATTCCAAACTTTTTCATCTCTAACTTGCTTAAAGGTCAGTTAAAATCTTGAAATACGTTTTTCCCAAAGGAAGATTTCATGTGTTTGGTTAGAGTGATACTGCGACAGAGGTGCCAAACAGGACTAGAACGAGGTTTGACAGAAGCGGAGGGAGAAACACCGGTGATTTTGAGGTGTAACGAGCTGGGCATGGACGAAGACGATTGACGGATGTGGGCCCCTAAACCGCCCCGGCGAGACGGAGACGACGGCCCCGTGAGTAGTGGAGAATCTGAGGGTGTGAGCGATTCGATGGCTTCCATATCCGCTGACTCGCTGTACGTTGTCGAAGACGCCCGATTCTTGCAGAGCCATTAGAAGGCTCTCACAACTTGGTTGCTAGATAAGATGTTTGTAAACTTCAAACAGCGGCGAATTCCAAATGCATAGTGAATTATGCAAGATATTTTTTTTTTCTGCTAGTTCCCTTTTTCGAACGAGGAAAAATTACGCTTTGCTATTGTGTGAATAGTCTTGATAGATACAGATTAGAGCAGTCTAAGAACCAATCAAATAAAGATTGCTACAAGTTGGTAATGGGGGCTCTTCGAAAGACATTGAGATAATATGAGACGGAGCAGATACGGTTTTCAGACTCGCTGCCAGTTAAACGTCTTGGACATCCTCGTGACAACGGCAGGAAAGTGAGAATGATCGTACTGAAAGGAGGATCCCAGATTCATGAGGTCGAAGAAGGAGAAACTTATCGAGTGGAAAGACAGGCGGACCCCTAAGGGTGCGGACCGAGACGCAATTCGCAGCGAAAGATATGGCCCCGGCGAGCTGGCATGGCTCTCCCGCAGCGTTTTCGGCGCGGAAGGCCCACCGACTTATTAACCACGCTGGTCTCTAGCCATTTAGCAAAAGTGGAGAGAGCGTTAGCGTTGAAGAGGGCAGCATCGATGAGAGTCGCATCAAGTGCGGAAATCAACGGGCAAGGAAGGGGTCCCATTTCTCGGGTTCTGGGCCGTTTCTCATGGTTTTTTTCTTTTTCCGGCACCACTGACCACCTCTACCTTAATTCCAATGGGCCGCCTTCTAATCATAAACCTCGCCTTTATGGTTAGGCTCTAGGAAAGGAAGCGATCGTACATGGTGAATACGGAACAGATTTTTGGAAGAGGTGGCAAGCCGATCCAGTCAAAGTTTGAGGATTTGCTTAGGGAAATTGAAATGTTTCGGAAAATTTCCAACGAAAAATGCGAAATTTATGGAAGTTCTGAAGGAACTATGGGATTTCTAATGTTTTTGGCAACACATTAACTCCTCAAACTTTCGACGGTTTTATGGTAAAGGTAAATATAACTTGCGGTTGGGGGCGGTCAGTAAGAAGATGGAACCAAGATGGATCTAAATCCCTAGCTAGGAGAAGTAGAATCATAAGGAGTAGATGCTACATAATTTTGCTGTAGGAATTCGAAAAGAAAGGTGTATCTACAACGTCAGACATGCGCTGGGAAGCTCCCACATATGCACTGAAAACCTTTACGCAATGAAAGAATACATAACTCAAGCTTTTACCTGCTCTGGCGGAACTGGATTGTTTAGGCTCATTCCGTTCAGTTGCCCGTTCAGATGTGACATTGTGTAGATAGGGCGTGTAGTTTCGGGATAGGATGAGTAGTTCGATGAAGTCTTTATCGTGGAGCCATTCGTGTATGAGAACGGCGTCGATGCCGTCATCGCTGGCGGCGGAAACGACGAATAGTTCGAGTTCTTAAATCAAATACTGACTTATTTTTGAGCCGATACAGTTTTGATAATTTCTAGAGAATTCAACGACAAGTTTTTGGAAAGGTTCCTACTGGAAACTTATTTTGTTATAACTAATCCATTCAACTTCGTAAGCGAAACTGTGATCACCAGTTGCGATTTTGCTGATTGATCCGCTTTCGCGGT